ATGTACAAATGCAAGCCACCTAATATTAGCTTCAGGAAAGAAAATAGTTGAGACACGACAGTACTGCAGTACAGCTTCCACAAGATCCTGTCAATAATAAAGGATTTATCATCTGCAGAAAATGTAAAGACTTTTAAAAATAATTTGGAGTTAAACTGGAGCTGTGGAAACTTTCTCTGTGAGTTATTATCAACTTAATAATCTACCGTTTATCACCATGCCCTAAACATTGGACATGGCTTCAATAAAATCACAGTTCAATACAATTAGTGAATGTGTGTTCAGTCTTATTTTATATGTTCCATAACTGAAAATCATGTTTCACCTAATATACATTGTCCCTAGACTTATTGATTAATAACTTATGAATAACAAATTTCATATTATAGAAGTAATTTTTTTTTGAAAACTTTCTACATGCACTTTGGCTTCCATTGTGAAACATGGAATTAAAAAAGCAGAACAACAGCAACAATACCAACTAACTGGTATTTCTATTTTTATACCACTTTTATGATCTTGTTACTGGATAACTAGAAAAATATTTTCTAATTATATAAATCCTATAGCACAGTTTAGATATGCTTTGTTTATTTGTTTATCTTGGGCAGGATAAATAACCTATAATGTAGATTAAAGTCTTTAAGCATTTAAAAGAAGTTAATTAGGTCCCTGTATATTCTTTTTTTTTCTTTTATTCTTGTCTCAAAGGCTGAATAAAAGAAAATTTTGAGAAAGAAGAAAGAGTTTTCTACAAGCAAACAAAAGAGTGTTTTACAACCAAATTATTGCACATCTTGAAATTTGGATACTACCTTCCTTGCTCTATTATTTACGTCGGTATTAGATGCTATTTTGGCCAATGTTAAGATATCAACACAAGAAAAGTATCTGTGATAGAGAAAAAAGACAAGGGCATAAATTAAAATTTTCAGTGAAACCCCACCTCTTGCTTCACTGATGACTAGAAAAATCAATGCCTTTTTGGTTTTGCTGATCCATTGCTGAGTCATACTCCTAAAATAAAAATAATTTCCTTCCTGTTTGTTCTAGAAACTTCAAAATTGCCTCTTAGCCACAAATCACAAATGATAGAGTCACTTCGGCCATTTAAGAGATCTTTAGAGTGATTGCAATAATCAGGCAAACTTTATAATGAAGTACAGCTGGAATGAACACTCACAGTTGCACTGCAGAATTTTCCACTGAGACACAATATTCTCCCTTACTGTAAGTTTTGCAGTAGCCAAGTGACAGCAGAGTTGGTCATGTTATCCTCCTTGCCAACAGTTCTCCACTTTACTAATCCTCACAAATCATGCTGTCTAAAGTTCTATGGAGACCCAGGCAAGATGCAAGCCCGAAGCTCTACCATTGACTCCATAAAATGGCAACTTATTAATCTACCAGGTTTGTGCCTTTGCTCTTCCTTTGACGTTTGTGGCCTGAAAGGGTCATTGCTTCCACATAAAAAAACCCCATGTAGATGTGGTGCTTAGAGACATGGTTTAGTGGTGGACTTGGCATTGTTAAGTTAATAGCTGTGCCCTTTCCAACCTTAACGATTCTATGATTCTATTCTATATGTGCATACAACAAACTTCATTTTAGGAGACCTTTATATCCTGCTGTATGTTAGAAAGATTCATTATGCTATGGTTCCAGGATTATTTATACCTCTATCCTCTTTTCTAGCATCTCTGAGTATGTTCACCTCAGGTCTTGGCCTCTTAAACTCTAACTTGAGGTTAATAACCTTCATATCAGCTTATTTCACTCTCATGAAATTTATCTCATTTCACTTTTTCCCTTCAGAATTTTGAAGGAAATTGAATTTATAGTTTCTAGAATCCTTTGTATGTGTGCATATATGTATATATACGTTAATATTTGTAAGGTCAAATGATAGTAAAATAATTTTAATAATAGTTTATATATGTACATATTTACATTTTTAGCCAGATGAAAAATCTTTAAAAGGAAAAAAAAAATCAGTGAGTTGACACAAACATTTCTCTTAGTGAGTTTCTTGTCTTTCTGTAAGATCACCATGTGTCACCCTCAGTGGGGGGGGTAGAGGTGTGTGCCAATAAACAGCCTCTGTAAAAGGAGCACCCAAAACCTCAGCCGGTGTTTACCTGATCATGTGAAGGAGGAAGAAAAGGAATTACAGAGCCTTTTGAAATAAGAGTCATATAGAAAAGAAGACTAAAAGAAGCATGAAAATCCATAACAGTGGTGAGACACTTAGCCATGGGTACAGGGCATCAGACAAAACAGATTTGACACTGACAGATGTCCCATCAACATCCTAACCTCCATATGTGCCCCGCAGAATATCCTCCTTGCTGGACACCCTGAAGAGCCTGCACCCAACTGTGGCCTTGCAGTGCAGTGCAGGTGCCCTCACTGGGATGTGTGAGTACTCAGTGTGTCTGTGGTTTTCTCATTGACTGGTAGATTAGCAGATTTCCAGGGAAGCACGGCTTACCATGAAGCTCGAGCACCTGTGCCTTAACAGTGTGCAAGGACAGGACCCACTGCCTAGGAAGACAGTGTGAGTGTATGTCTGTGACTGTGAGCAACTCTGTGTGTGTGTGTGTGTGTGTCTGTGTGTATGTTTAGGACTTTATAGAAATAGTTGTGGAAAGATGTGTAGAAATTTCTAGGTGTATAGAAATTTCTAGGTGTATTGTAAAGTTTCCTAAGTCTCCAATATTGTAGCTTATCCATACATTGCTGAGAAAGATCCTGAACATGTAATTTATTGCTTGCCAGTTCATTAAAAAACAAATTTGCTGATGACACCAAACTGGGAGGGAGTGTCGACCTGCTGGAAGGCAGGAGGGCTCTGCAGAGGGATCTGGATAGACTTGAGAGATGGGTTGATTCCAATGGGATGAAGTTCAATAAAGCCAAGTGCCGGGTCCTGCACTTTGGCCACAACAACCCCCTGCAGCGCTACAGGCTGGGCACAGAGTGGCTGGAAAGCAGCCAGGCAGAAAGGGACCTGGGGGGACTAATTGACAGGAAGCTCAACATGAGCCAACAGTGTGCCCAGGTGGCCAAGAAGGCCAATGGGATCTTGTCCTGTATCAAAAATAGCGTGGCCAGCAGGAGCAGGGAAGTGATCCTTCCCCTGTACTCTGCGTTGGTGAGGCCACACCTTGCGTATTGTGTTCAGTTCTGGGCCCCTCAGTTCAGAAAGGATATTGAGGTGCTGGAGCGGGTCCAGAGAAGAGCAACAAGGCTGGTGAAGGGACTGGAGCATAAGTCCTATGGGGAGAGGCTGAGGGAGCTGGGGTTGTTTAGCCTGGAGAAGAGGAGGCTCAGAGGTGACCTCATCACCGTCTATAACTACCTGAAGGGGAGTTCTAGCCAGGTGGGGGTTGGTCTCTTCTCTCAGGCACTCAGCAATAGGACAAGGGGGCACGGGCTTAAGCTCCGCCAGGGGAAATTTAAGTTGGATATCAGGAGAAAATTCTTTACAGAGAGAGTAATCAGGCATTGGAATGGGCTGACATGAGAGGTGGTGGATTCACCCTCACTGAAGATTTTTAAACGCAGCTTGGACGTGGCACTGAGTGCCATGATCTAGTAAATGGACTGGATTTGGACCAAGGGTTGGACTCGATGATCTCGGAGGTCTTTTCCAACCCAATCGATTCTATGATTCTATGATTCTATGATTAATAGATCAATACACCACTGCAATCCTGATTTGATTTATTATAGGTAAATTGAGCAGTTATCCCCTGTGATAGCATTCACCTAGGCAAGATTGTATTCTTCAGGCACCTACCAAGCCTACTCCTTGGTTTTCTCTGGTGGTGTTTCCTTCACCAGAAAACAAAATTTAAAATCCCACATCACTTCTTTCTCCTTCTTTGTCTGCTGAATCAACTATTTATGAACTTCTCAGTTTTGAAGGATCCCTAGAGACCAAACAAACCCAAACAATGGCCCCCTGTGGACTCTAGATTGCTCTGGAGGGGTGGGTGAGAAGCATCTCAACTCATTCTTTTCCCAGTTGTATCTGGATAACACCTTGTTGGATAACACAATATATTTATACTGTAAGCACCAAAAACCAAAATAACCAGGGCAGCATATGGTACTCATAAATTATTACAGGAAAGTCCTATATCTGTCACATGCACTCAGTGAGCAAGTTCCAGGGAAAGGCAACTGTCTCCTGAGTTACTGGGTTCTCACAGAGAAGCTGTTTTGACTCAATTGAGAACAAAGATTGAAATCTTCTCTTTCAAAATTGCAAAATTGCATACATCCCAGACCCTTTTAGCATGTGTCACTACTCACTTCCTTTCTGCTCCTTATCCATTCATATCCTCTCAGGCTGACAGCCTTTAAACCATGTATATGGTGAAGACCTTTGGTCCAAAGCCTAGTCCCAAGTAAAATTCTTGAGACATTTATTGTGTGGATTTAAAGAATTCCATACCAGCTGCTTTGATCTTCCAATCTGTTTGTAGTGCTTTGAATTGCTAACAGAGACCCAGGACTGACTCAATTTTGCAGTGATGCCCCCAAGCTCTCTAATAATCTAATGCTGCATAGTAATTTCTGACACCTGTAACATTATATGGCTTTAGTAACATATGATGCTTTTGTTAAAACTAGCTCCTGGAAATGCCTCATTTTTTGAGGCATTTAGGCTTTCAGCCAACAAAGGACACATTTTATAGCCCTTCTAATTAAAGGGAAAAGCTTGAAAATGTGACATGAAAGTATCTCACCAATTCTTAACTAGCATGCAAATGGAAAAATCTAAAAGTCTGATGTTTCAAAAAGCTCTGGTTTTGATTCTAAGGGTAAATGTATGACTTTGATTGCTTGTGAGCAGGACTACAAACTAAGTACAGTGGAAGCGATAATACATAAGAACTCCTACTGGGCAAAGCAAACACATTTAATTATAGAAAACATTTTTTATTTTTTGCTGGTTTTTTTCACATACCTTTTAATAACCACAGGTGAAAAAAAGCAGTAGGTACATCTTAGTATCTACATCGAATTTTTCAAGCTGATTTCGTTATTTTATAACGAACTTCTCAAAAAAAAAACAAAAAACAGAGTGACAAGTGGTAGGTCTTGCTCTGGCACTGGCTGAATGAAGAAAGAAACCCACTGATGTCCTGAAGGACCAAAGTCACTGCCAAGGGCTCCTGGTGCATTGTCTGATAGGCACAAAGACACACTGTTGTAAATCCTCACAAATGAAAAAACAAAATGTTGTGCTTCTGAGGGAGAGCAGAACACTGATGTGTAAAGACCAGGCTTACATGCAGCACAAGAACAGCCTCTGCAGAACCCCTTGTCGTGGCCTCCATTCCCTGTAGCTGGTGTTTCCCTGGGTCCAGCCTGAGGAATTTCTTCACAAGGTTGTGTGGATTGCACAGACCTACAGCAGCATAAAGAAGGGCAACTTGAGATCCCCCAACTCCTGGGGATCCAGGAGCTCCTTTACTACCCTTCCCATACTGAGATGTGATGGGGTTACCCTGTGTTACGCCTGAGCAGTAGCTGCCTCAGACCTGGACATTAGCACCAAGAAGAAAGCAGACTCCCTGCAATGTTTCTGCCATGTCTACTGCACATCCACACAAGGACCAAGGGCAATCTGGCTCTGTTTGCTACTTTACAGCATTTCTATTATTCCTTTATCCTATCAGCATCTTCTTAAGTCCATGCCTATTAGTTTTTTGGCTTAATCGTCTCTTCAGCATTGTTTAATCATCTTGAAGGCTTGATCTCCAGAATAAACAGCTTGCAATAGAAAAATGTCTATCAAGGCTTTATATTCATATATTCATATCCTTCTTGCCACATTTTATTAATGTGTTTATTTTAATAGATAAGATCCAGCTTATGAAACCAAATTATAACATACATTACTATGTTCAAAATTCAAATATTGACGTGTCCTGATCTGATCATGCAGAGAGTTCATTCAATATCCTTGGTTAAATGCTTTCTCTCATTTAAAGAAACAACTGGATTTGAGAAATACTGAAAACTCAGAAAAATTTGAAGGTCAGTGAACTGTAATAAATATTAGTTTACAGTCAATCTGGCATTTATTCTCTGACTTCTGCCTACAATCTTTTGTCTCAAAGAGGTAAAATTATTAATAGCAAATTACTTTTTTTTACATTTTAGTTCCACTGGTAAATTAGTATTTAGCATTATCTTGGACTGCATTTTTTAGAAGTGTTGCAATGTAATATCAGAATGTAGCTGTAGTCTGAAACAGAGTATGGCTTTGAAGGATTCTGATTTTCCCATCTCTTAGTAATTTTTATCCTAGACTTTCATAGTTTAAAGCCAAAGGAAAGAGTACTGTTGTCCTCCTACTGTCTGTTTTGAAGGAAATAGAATTCACAGTGAATTCCTTGAACTTAAAGCTAGAGAATCACTTTAACTCAGCAACAAAATGTTATGACTACCAAATGGTTAATTATGAAGAAAACTATGAAGAATCTGGTAGACTTTTACTGACTGTGCAGCAATAACAACAAATCCAAGCTGTCACTGGGTTCACACCTATATACAATAACCATTTTGGTCTCACTACCATAATGTGTGAATATATTGATCCTCATGATGCTATGTGAGGTTGGGAGATATTGATGTTTCTGCTTCACAGGTTGGGAAGACAAGTACCAAGAAGCTAAGTAATTTGTCCTAAACCTATGCACTAGATAGTCCATTGTCTTCTCTGTCCTATAGAACTGGATAAAATAATGAAGTACTAAAGGAACATGAACACGATGATGGTGATTGTTGTTATAAACTATAGTCATGGCTACCTCTCTGTTGATGTGTGGTTTTTTATGACAACATGATGATACAGAGAAGGAACCATAGTATGTATTTTTTTTGTGAACAGCATGGTTAACATCTGACAAACACAACTGTCAAGAGATCTTGAGTTATTTTTTCTTACAGTATTTCTGATGAAAAGCAAACAGCTTAGTGTAATTTTGCTTATTCACTCTTCTGCTCTATGTAGAATTATAGACTATTTCAAGTTGGAAGGCACCCATAATGGTCAAGTCCTGTCCCTTGCAGGTCTACCTAAAAGTAAGCCATAGGACTAAGCTCATCATCCAGTTATTCTTTGACAGGCATGGTGCCTACTTCTCTGGGGAGCCTGTTCCAGTGATTGACCCTCTACTCAGTGAAGAAACTTTTCCCAATATTCAGTCTGAATTTCCCCTCATGCAGATTCATTCCTTTTCCTCATATCCTATTGCTGATCCTATTGAGAAAGATCAGCACCACCTCCCCCCCATGAGAAAATTGTAGACTACAATGAAGTCGCCCCTTAGCCTTCTCCAAGCTGAACAAGCCATGACCTCAACCACCTCTCACATGTCTTGCCCTCACAACCCTTCACCATCTTGGACACTCTCCTCTGGACACACTCTAATAGCTTTATAACTTTCTTGTATTGTGGCACCCAAAACTGCATGCAGGACTTAAAGGTGAGGCTGCATCAGCATCAGCACAGAGTAGAGTGGGACAATCACCTCCCTTGACAATTCTTTGCCTGATGCACCTTAGGTCACAGTTTGTCCTTTTGGCTGCCAGGGCACACTGGATTCCTATTCAATTTGCCATCAGCCCAAACCCTCAGATGTCTTTCTGCAAGGCTGTTCTTCATTTTGTATGGTCGGGGATTGCCCAGTCCTCTGGTATATCCAAATCTTTCTGTAGGGCCTCTCTACCTTCAAAGTAGCCCAAAGCTTCTCCTAATTTTGTGTCGTTGGCAAACTTAATGTACTTTCAATTCCTGCATCCAGATAATTTATAGAACCATTAAAGAGCACTGGCCTTAAAAATTTGAGCCCTTGGGAACCGCACTGGTGATTGGTCTCCAGCCTGATGTAATGCCATTTACCATAACTATTTGAGCCCAACCCATCAGCCAATTACTGAATCATATGGATCCCTGCTTTTCTTAGTCTGACGTGGTTTTTTCTATTCTTTATTGCTAAGCAGATATTTAGAATGCATCCCCTTGCTTTTCATGAATCTCTGAAAATTAAATCACTTTTGAGAAACTTGGATGAACATAGATGGTTTTCATTGCAAATAGACTTTTTGTCAAGTGCATGTTTTTCCTAATGTATTTGTGTCCACAAATGCTCCCATCTGCTGAAAAAATTACTTTTGCTCCTTTATCACTCCACTGATCTTCCACCCTTCCAGGACTACTTGGCACTTAATCCTCCAGGACCTGCCCATGGGAATTAACAACATTCAACCTGTTCCAGAGTTATCCTGATGTGTCCCATGTGTCACACAAAAGATGCAAAGCCACATAAACCCTCATCAGCAGAACTCTTGCTAGAAGAAGAATAGAGTAGATAACAGTACAGCAATAGATCACAGTGAGAGATCACTGCAATGTAAACATGTTCTGAGAAGTGACCTCAGCCACCTGAAGAACACAATGACAGTCAATGTACGTGCTACTCTCAAAAAGGCAAAGTGCAGTTGTAAATTCCCAGTAGATTTCTAAAAGATTTTTAAATTATTCTATTTCAGTGTTTTGGCAACATGTTCCTTCTTTCTTAATAATAGCTCGGTAAAGTATAATCTAGCAAGGCTAGCAAGAAAATTATTTGGGATTTGCTGTTTTTTCTACACTTATTCATTCATCTATTTATTTTTTTTTAATAAGTTAGTAATTCTTCTAGGGTTTTTCTGGTACTTCACAGATCAGATTGCTGTGTCAACAATGCTACTTGATCCGTATACTGCTTTCAACATTAATATTATACTTTAAAATGGGAATCAGATTTCTGATTGAGTTTTCACTATAAAAATACAAATTAAAAAAAAGGCTATTTGAAAGGAAAACAAGATTTTAGGGACTAATAAAAAAATGTCTCCTGTAAGTCACTGGATGATTGATAAAAATGAGGGAGGAGGAGAAATGGTGTATAAGTCAATTATAGACTGACTGTGAACCTCCAACATGAAGTCTTGTGAGAAGGTAATCATAGTCCTATAAAACACTCAGCAAGACAGTTCTAGAGAATAGAGCAATACTAATGCTGCTGGCAAGACCTCATAAAAGAGACTGACTACAATGGTTTTAATCTTTCTTCAAACAAGAGTTTCAAATTGGAAAGTTGCAGTGAAAGTAAAACTTGGGAGAAAAAGGCACAGAATATTATCTGACTATGAATCATTCAGTTTGAAAATTAGATTTCTAACTGTAATAGCAGAATGAACCCTTCACCTCACTGGATGACTGGGAGCAAGAAATTAAACATAACAGGATGGAGTCATCTAAATAATGATATGAATGCTGTGTTTATGTCTGTAGTGATAAATTAAAGTGAGGCAGGCACCGATCCTGAAAACTAAGTGGCACAAAGTGACTACTGTTCACACTTGGGTTTAATCCCTTACTGATCAGCTTCATGTTGGGAAAAAAAATATTTGTAATGGTGCAAACAGAGGTGGGGAGAAAACTAACAGTTACCTTTTGGAGATGTAGATGTATTTTACTAGAGTCCATCATTTAGTGTTCCTCCTTGACCTCTTTCCTTGCTTTAAGTACACCTCTCTAACCACAATATCCTCTACCTCACAATGGATATCCTTCTTCTTTTTTCATCTTCTAAACTTGCATTTGCAACACTGAAGCTTTACACAGCATTACACCCTTTGGAAAGACACTGAGCATAGCGACTGTGTTTCTGATGATGACAGATCTGTTCTGGTTGATACTTCAAACCATGAATGGTTTGAAGATGGGAAAGTGTGGGCAGTATGTGATGTGGAGAGTACAAGCTGACCAGACAGAAAGGATGGAGCGAAACTGCACACAGAATCATCAGCTCTGCTCTTGAGCCTGACCTGCCCCTGCTTGCACAAAGATAAAGCTATTTTTGAAAGCTCAATTCCTTGGAAAATTCCTGCTTGTCTTTAAAAGGAGAATGCTGTAGGGAAGCAATGGAAAAAGATGAAAAGAATGCACCAGCTTGAATTGCTATGCTGTACTGAGGCTTAAAGGGGCTCTTAAAATTGTCATCCTCTTCTATTACTTTTCAAAATATCACTTCAAAACAATGACTGTAAAAGAATTTTGTTTGAGGATTAGGGCCTCCTAGTGCTGCAAGACACGTTTAGAAACACAGACTGTGTCTGCATGGGCATATGGCTAAAGCAAACTGGAAAGGTTTCTCCTTGTAGTGCAGTAAGTTACACTCGATATATAACACAAATTATGTTTGTCACTTGAAAGGGAAAAAGAGAGTAATAGTTACAGTTCTGTCTTTGTCATTCAAAAGTATTGACAGCCTTAATGCTTTGTATTATGTTTAAGCAGTCATGCTGAAATTAAATGCCAAAATAAGCCATGTACTTGCCAGTCGATGTGGAGTTCTGAAACGTGCTAGCTGTTTTGTGGGAGGAGAGAGGATTTCGTCCTCGGGGAAAGGAGATTTTCTGTGCTGCAGAAGTGGCTCTGTAGCACATCCCTCTCTGCCTAAACAATGTGACTCATCTGCTCTCAGTCTGGAGCTCTGCAAATTATGGTATTGTAAAAACATGCAAAGTTCACACTAAGTTCACAAAGCTACAAAAATAAGCTGTTGCCCGAGCAATGGATGATCCAGCAAGCAGAGTTCTGTGCTGGAATTCAGCAGTCCTAAATCCTGCTCTTGAATATGCTACTGATTTTTGAGTGCCTTAGAAAAACTGCATTCTCTCTTAAATCTCTTTTTAAATCTTTCCCTGCCCTTGTCTTGTTAAACTCTCCATGAGCAATGTCTCAAAGGTGAAGTCTGTGCTAGCCATCAATACTGACAATCATTTTTCAAAACTCATAATCTCTTTAAGTACTATCTTCTCTTTGGCCATAACAGATCCTAACTTCGCCTGTTCAGATCCATTCTAAATACTGTCATAAGATCCTTTCTCCAGCTCATCAATTGGACGGTATCATCCTTCTCTCCACACTCCCAGCATGAGCTTTCACTTCCTTGCTGCATCTAATAGAGGCTTGTCTACACTGTCAGCACTCTCCTCAGCCATTATCTCTAATTCAGCAACACAGGGAAGTTCTCCTTCTGAATGGCCAGTGCTAAACATCCAGATAATCCTTTTGTGCCTTTTCTCATGCTGTATCTAATGCTAGGGGGAAAGTTTCCTTGACATTTGAAAACCAACTCCTTTTTTTCTCTCAAAAAAATTTTCTTCCCTCACTATATATTAAGAAAAATAATTAAAAAATCCCAGTTTTGCCTCCTTGCATGCTGGTTCTACTGCCTAGGAAGCATCAGCTTCTTATTTCTTTTTCTTCCTCATCTACGCACTTGTGTCTCTTTGTTTTCCCAGGCTTTTCACCTCTATTGTAAGGTCTTTGACACTGAGACAGCCTTCTGATCTGTGCTTGTACTGTGGGCTTCTGATGCCTCTGTCAGGCTCCCTGGGTGCTATGGCAATATGAGCAGAAAAACACTGAATGACAACTTTAAGCATCACAGGATAAGAACAAGGGGAGAGTGAGAGCCAAGAAATCTCCAGGTGTGTTTTCCTTTTTTTTCAGCCCATTCAAGTGTGGAAATGAATTAGCTAAAGAACAGAGCAACAGAAAGTCATGACATTTTAGAGCAAGAGCCTGAACCTTTCTCTGTACTCTGACACCTTCTCATGGCCAGTTTCTGAGAAAGTCCAACATTTTCCGGTTCTTCCAGATGTGCTTGAACAGCTGGCTCAGTGCAGTAGGGAATTAGGCACATATTGTGACATATTATCAATCACTTCACTATGCTGAAGGTTTTTAAGCACATTACACTTTATTTCAGGATGTCTAATCCAAAGCTTGATATTTACAAAGTACCAAGAACTGCTGCCAAATAAACAGAAAACATGTGTAAATCATACTTAGTGGAAACAAAAAGAATGATCATGTAGTGAAGGCACTGGCCTGGCTTCAGTAATTAATCCAAATAATCCTTGGGCATTGGGTTCCAAAGTATTTTCCTTTGACACAGACCTTCTGTGACTGCAAGCAAACTACTCATTATTTGGCTCTGAGAAAGTCAAAAAAGTTCTTACAGATTTTCATGGAGCTTGACTAGATGTTCTAGTTGTCACTGTCTGCTCTGTGTGCTGTGACTTACACCATTTTTATAGGGACAGTCACTTTTGCATATCTGCTCAGCTCAACAACTAGCCATACAGAGAAGTGCATATTGCTGAAGTAACAATGGTCTTCTAGCATTTAGTAGGAAATATCCAGTGGGAAACATAGAAATGAATTCTGAATGAAGATTTTAGTCTAGTTTTGAGTGACTTCTGTCTGGCAGTATCCTATACTGATACACTTCTATTGCTGATGGTGTATCTATACCCTTTGGTAAGGTTTTCCGTCCCACAAAAGCTTCTAGGACTAAGCTCTGATTTTTCGACACACCAAGGATTTTCAAAAAACGTATTAGAAAAGACTCATAGTGGACAAAGTACTTGGATTACTACTAATGCAACAGTGTCTCTGGAAGTTTTGCAAATTACTATGTGTTTAAATGTGTGAGCATGCAACTGACTCCCTCTAACCCCTTTGCTAAGCTTCAAGAGGCTCAAAAGAACTGTGTTATAAAACTTCTGCTAGATACTTCCTGGTGACACCAATACTCTTGAATCAAAATTAAATTATGCACTTACTGGAAGTTAATATCCCTGAAATTAATTTCAAAAATCAATTTAGTATACATAGTATTTCAAACAGCCATAGTAGTGTCATTGCTAAAAAAGACCCCACCCACATATCTATGACTGCAATGTTTTTTCAGCTTCTGGTTAATAAAGTCTTGATTAGGAGGATTCAGAAAGTATATCTAGAATGGTAAATTCAAAAGAGGTATAATCAGTTTGTATAAGCTCATATTCCTTTGCAATTTTCTGATAAATTGGCAACATGGAAACCTGTAACATACTTCTGGTCTTTTTCCAAAATAAAACTAAGACCTTCTATAGACAGAGAATGCCTGTTATCTGTAGTGTAGTATTTATAATAACCATCTTCATTTTTTACAATAATTAAATTTCTTAAATCTGTCATTTTCCCCAGGGTTACTGTACAGCCCTCTTAAAGTAGAGCTCTCTGCCTTTGATCAGTAAGAGAAAAGGAGTGACAGAGTTACTGCCAGGGAACACTAACTGCTTACATGTCATTTCAAAGATTTATTCTTTCCAAATATTGTTTAAAACTATTTTTAAAGTGGAGTCAGAAACACCACAAAGTCCTAGACATTGTTGCTATTATAAAACCAACAGCACAAGAAGGCGTCTTTCACTATCATTAGTAAATGAAAAATCAACACCTATGTACCTTTGCATCTTTGAAAATCTCTCCAAATGTCTCTACTTGCATTTGACTGTGCAACAAGTTCTGGGGCAGGGTGGAAGAGATGAGTTTCTCAAAACATTTTTGTGCCAAATCTGGAAGAGGCAGCAATAGTCAACCTCTAGTTGGAGAAACTAGTAACATAGAGTCCTCAGAAAGGGTAAGGACTGAGGCCTCAGCTGGACACAGGATTTGATCAAATAATTGAAATCCTCTGTATGAGTCTCCAATTCCCATCCTCTAATGTTTTCCCATGACACAGAGGATGTGTGTGTGCAGTAGCACCCAGAAATTCAGCCTTGGATAAGCATAAGTTAGGAGTGCTTATTGTGATCCTCACTACTGGTATGTCATAATATAGTAGAGGAGGAACAAGAGAAGAGGACCTTGCTCTAACATACAGTACTTCTCTCATGCCTCATAACAGACCTGCTTCAACCAGGCACCTACTCATGAGGCAACGTCCATGGGTGGAGGTAGAGCTACTTCTACTGTCTTTCTGTCCCCAGTACCCTTTGTAAGGAAAAGATACCTCTGAGCCTTGTAAATGCCCTCAGCAGCACACAGAACGTGGCCATAAGCTCTACAGCCCATGTTATATGGAAATGGAACATTGGCTATGCTCTACCCATGAAAAATGTGTATGCTAATGTTCTTCCAAGGATGCACTGTTGCTCTGTGCCACATATCCCTTACATAAGTATTATACAAGAATGCTAAATTTGCTTTGTATTTACGGGAAGGAAGATAAATTGTTCACAGAGTAAAAATGTGTAACTGTCTCATTTCTTTTTACTTTCTATGGCATTACAAACCTAGCTTTTCAAGATGAATAAACATTGTGATTGAAAAGTAGTTGGACTATATGAAAAGAGTTTCAATACTTCTCTTCAGCACTTTTTCACTACTTAAGCAAAACAGCTTTTTTAAAACATATTCATCTTTAGTGATCCTTACAGGAGATGAGATAAACTTTGAAAGACCATAAAAAAAAATTGATGGATTTATACTAAAATATAGAGTTAAAGTTATGCTCAAACTAGTAATGGTTTAAAAAGAACTGCCAATTTCAAGCTGTGACTAAATTGGAAAATTTCACTTTTTTTCCCCTCACTTAGACATGATCGTTACATTCAGACACATGAGTGAAGAGTACCCTTCGGCTGTTCAGTCTATCCGCTGGCAAACTGCCCATTTACAAACATAATTACACTTTCCTGTACTGCTATTCCTCACATTAAATGAAGTTTTAAAGCTTCTCCTTCAAAAGACTACTAATTCCCCTCTCTTCTCAAATCCTCACCACTGCTCCCTCATGCTACGTGCTCTTACATAGTCTCTTCCTATACACACAGCCTGTTTTGCCTCCTTCTGTCTCTCTATACCGTGGCACATTTCATTCATGCTTATCTTAGCTCTCTTGCTATGTGACTTTCCCACAGCCCCTCCTAAACCCGCTTCTCAAAAATATTTCTAGTAAATATAGTCTGAGGAAAAAGTACTGTTATGTCAAAGTCTGTCTGACTTGCAGAAGACATGGTTGTCTATTCATGGAATCAAAGAATCATAGAGTCATAGAATCATAGAATGGTTTAGTTTAGAAGAGACCTTAAAGGTCCTCTAGTTCCAACCTCCCCGCCAAGGGCAGGGATGTCAGTCACTTGATCACATTACTCAGGGCTCCATCCAACCTGGCCTTGGACACTGCCACGGATGGCAAATACTCCTGTTTCCCATCTTGTGAATCTTTTATCTGGGTTCTATCATAAAATCTTTCATACCAAGACCCGGGTGAAATGGTGAATGTCACGAGCAGAGCCATTCCAGACTTTATGTGATAACCTGCTAGAAAGACATTCTTCCTATCTCTACATATTCTACTAAGAGAGTGCCTGTGCTCTGCTCAGCACTGTGACTGTGCCAAGTCCTCTATAAATCCTCAGCACTCATTCATATAGCTGTCCAAACAGCTTTGGGGGAAGAAGAGCTCTGTTTTTTCCTTCAGATAAAATATCACAAAAACTCACTGACCAAACTGAATATTAAGTGGACAAGTCAAAAAAAAAAATAATCTTTAAATTCTTATTAAGAAATTGTGGGCACAAAAGGATAATGGAGAAAACCGTCGCAGGGCTCTAATATTGGGAATTTTTTCACACCACTAAACCTAGGGGGAATTTTTTTCTAAAGAAAAGAAGAATTCTGTTTCCATAGTAACTCAGTGCTAGAGCCCCCTTACAGTTCAAATTTAGCAGAATTACATGTGCAGCAGCATACTACTGTGCACTTGAGGCTACAACAAAACCACTAACCTCACTGCATTTGGGATGTCAGGTTGAATTTAGACTGGGACTGACAATATGTTGAGCAAGTCCAAGTATAACCCTAAAAAGTTACATTATGCCTTAAAGACAAGGGAGAAATTATAGGTGATAATAGGGCATAAACTAGCATCCTGATGATGACTTGAAATATCAAAAAAAAAAGCCAAGAAATGGGTTAGCATTTAAAAATGAATTATTTTTACCCAACTACTGACTTTAATGTACTTAGTCCTATGAAACAAGGCACCTCACTGACAGTTCTTTCCCCTGTACTGTATGGATTAACAATACACAGAAGTTGTTCTGCCTTTATTCTGAAGAGAGATCACGTAATCTGTCCACAGTGAGATGTTTTACTTCAGCTTTCTGAGCAATTGCAAGTGATACATGAGGACAACAGATTTGTGTCTGTAGAGGAATCTCTGCACCTTACCTGGCAGTGCCTTGCCTGTGTTTTTGAAACAGTTAAAAACCAAACAGCCCAACAAATAACCTGTTAACCAATGCATTTAATGCCCTTAAAAACAAATGGATAAGGGTGTGGTAGCTCTGTAATGTATCCGTTCTGTAATCAGTAGATAGGTGCTCATCAGAGGCAAAGTGAAGTTCGGTGGCAAGAAAATGAAGGTAAGAACAAAGGTACCTTAACAGGGATGAGGCTCATTAGAAAGGTAGAAAGTGCTGGTGTAGAGTTTTAACACCAAGTGCTCAAAGCACTGATCAAACTTCATAATGACTATTTGAGCCATAAGCTCAACATGTTTGACTGGCACAGTAAGTACAATCTGCTCTCAGCAGTACTCAACAGTGCTTTAACCATATTACATACAGACTATGGCCAACTCTGTAGTGTTATGGCAATGAAGCACTAAAAAAAAGTGCTGCCAATTTTCCCACTGTGTCAGATATTTAAGAAATCATCAGCAAATTGAGAGATCTAAGTGTGATGTGTGTCAAATAACTATTTCATCCAGATGGAAGAAGTATTTTAAAAGACAACTTTCTTGGGTTGTTAGTTTTTTTACATCATCTATCCAATCTCAGGATAAAATCTGCACACTTTCTGCTTTGTCTCATCACAGTATCATTTTGCTACACACTTTGTTCTATGCTATCATGCATTGAATCTGCTCCAAAGCTGATGAGGGAGAAAATTACCATCATAACCTTGAACAACAGCAAAAAGTTACACTAGCTATTAGTAAGAGGCTAACTTCTGACTCTATATAGGTAGAAGGTAATTATATACAATAAGGCAATGTATTAATACAGACTGCAGCTAATTCAAAATTACAGAAAGAGAAAAATGTCTTGGGGGGGGTGCAAGTATGCCAACAAAGCAAGACCACCTACTGAGACTATCAAGCTTTGTCTTTGCTTCAATATCAACATTTTAACTGCTTTTTGCAGGAAAAAAAAGAAAAATAAACACAATTAATCTGATAATCTTTCAAGTGATTACTACAAAACCTGGAAAGACAACTAAAAAACAAATTAAAACTCCTTTTAACACTTTCACCTTCATAATAAAGACAAATTAAGGTACTTAAGCATGAGCCTCTTGGGAAACTGCTGAGGCTGCAGAGAAAACTAATTGGTTGACTGCAATTTGCATATGAATATTAAATACTAATAAGATTAATGTTTTGTGAGGTTTAATCAGGAGTGACTATATAGCAACCATCTAGATGCTTTGTCCAGAAACAAGGTGTAATGTAAGATACTGCCTAGCCCAACCCATCCTAAGGTGGCCTTTCCGACTAATTCCCCTAACAGCTTGGAAGACAGCAACAGGGGATGCAGCACAGACCCTGCTTGCCAGTTGCCTGGATGTCTAGGAGCCTGTCCCACTCTTGGCACATTACTTACAGAGAGAGGTTCCAAACCTATTCATTCCCCTTCATGCAGACATTTTGCTTCTCCTTACAGAGAAGAATGAAAGAGCTGTGTCTTATTACTCACTTGAAGATCTTTATGGGTCAACAATACAGTCTCATGCTGAAAGTGTTTAGTGGATGACATATAATACGAATCTCGACCACTTAATTAGTCCAAAAGTAGCATTTCCACAGCAAACCCACACTGTTTTACTGGCCCATATATGTTCAAGATCACTTTTTGTGCTGGGAGTGAGGACACTTCTACCAGAAGCACATCAGTCATAGAAGGACTTAGTGCATCAGCAGCATCAGTAGACGAGGATGAACTGGAGAGTGCTTCTGTACTCTGGCCTAAAAGCTAACAGCAAGTGTGTGCTTTACTGCTAACTCAGGCTTAAAAATGCCTAAAAAAAAATTACATCTAAAGTTGGGGCTAATCCCTTAAAGGTAATCAATAGAAGGATTGAATCTCATAACACAGGCTAATGTGTTTTCTACTTCCCTCCTTCCCCTCCAGGGTGACCAGGCAGAGAATGCAGGGATTTTCCAGAAAACCTGCAGTGCTTCAGATCTTGTTTCCTCACAGAGGGTCATTCCCATGGAAGTGATGACTTCCAAGCCTCACACATTGAATCACACGCCACCAGGATGCTATGATGTGCCTCTCCAAGATAATCAGGATCTGTGTGGCAAAAGGAGGTTTTCAGCAGTAGCAGTGGTGGGTAGCTGAGAATGAGATGAACTGCCATTGCTCAGCAACTTGTATGAAAGCTTTTAACAGGGCACACCTTTCCTTTTCCATGGAGTTCTGACACCCGAACTGATGATACAGTAGCAAGTAAGTGACCCAATAAATCTGACAGCCATCTGCACAGATAATTTAAGAAAAACCTTGTATTATCACCAGACTGAAAACAGCAATGCAGAGTTTTCTTCATTTTTCTTTCAACTAGGAAAAATCTAAGGGGTTTGAAGTGTTAAAATTGTTGGAATTTTGTTTGAGAGGTGAAAATCTCTTCCTGGCAGTGCTCTTCTGCCTAAAAATTGGCATAAATTAATG